CCTAATATTGTTATTTATGATCACCACTATACCTCTTTTGCTAATCGATCACCGCTATACCTTTTAAATAATTACAAATCTACATATCAATTTTGGATATAAATTAAACCTCAGGCATGCCAATTTTCTAACTAATTAAAAATTAATATTATAATAATTAAGACGGTTATTGTATGCATGACAATCAAGCACTTTTAGTATATTTTGCGGTACAAGGAATGTCTGTCACCGCCTTATCCACAATCTGGCCGGCCTAATAATATGGAAATCACAAAGATTTCTGCTAAGTAACAAAACCAAAGAATATTGGAGGAATTGTCGAAACCTAAGTAAATAACAATATATATTTCGGCACAATGTTTTTGTTTCTTTTTGCAACGTTTCAACTATATATACATGCTGAATTTAGAGCATTGTATCGTATCATTAGTTTATTGAGAAATCGGAAGATTCAAGCAAAAGAACAAGAAGAATAAAATAGGAGATTAATAGAAGATATTATGGCAAAGACTAATGTTAACACCATCTTCTTTAACCTATATTTACTTCTCTTGTTCTTTCTCATAGTGTCCATGGCTGCTGATGCAAAACTATTTGACAGTAAGTTAATTAGTTTCCATAGCACAATTATTGACTATTATATACATATATACATATATATTTGCTTCTATACACACGTACGCACACATTTTGAACCCTGTTATTACTCCACAAAAGTGTGAAAATTGTCACATATACATATATATGTGTGTGTGTGTGTGTTATTAATATATCTCGATCTCTGAAACGTAGTTATTTTGTTGGTTATAATTAAGCAGCAATACTGTTTGGCAAAGCGAGAAAGCAGGCCAATAATATCCTGAGGCCGCAATGCAAATCAGTGTTTGGAGTACGCCAAGGTGACACGTGCTTTGCAGTGTCCCAAATGTTCAACTTGACTCTGGAATTCTTTGACAGCCTCAACCCCAATCTCAACTGCACCAATCTCTTCGTTGGTGAGTGGCTTTGTGTTGACGGCACCCCAAACTATATATATATATGACTGGAGTTGATTCGGAGATTCGTCTTATATATGTCAAGTAATTTGTCTCTTTTGTTCCCTCGTATTTAAAAAGTTTTTAATTAACTCTTCATATTGAAGAACTGTAATATTGAGCAAAGAATAATGTTGAAGAACTATATAATTAAGCGATGGCTAAGGCCCAAGTATAAGTGGGGTACGTCCGAGTAGGGCATTATATTTAGTAATCGCATTTCTATCTTCGTTGAAATATTTTGTTTCCTTAATTTTCATGCTTAATTAATGTCTACTTATGCATTATGCAAATTAAATTCAAAATCTTCTACAAGTGTCTACTGCCAGCTACGTCTATTGCAAAACTTTGATATTAATACTCTTGGACATGTATTGCTCTTGTCGTTGGATTGGAATATTACGATTTCTGAGCACAGAGGGCTTGCACAAAGCAGCTCAAAACAAAAAATACTGCCCATTCGTTTTACAATTCGAATCGGAGAAGTTTGGTTAATGAATTAAAATCATGAGATTAGAATCATTTTCGATTTACATGTATTTTTTATGAGAGAAAACACTGTAGCGAACCATGAATCATGATTCGAATCAGGATACGAATCCTCTTACCAAACGTCACCAACTCAAACTTTTTACTACATTATTTTCTTTGATAAAAATTCGAAGTCAACTTTTTTACTGTAGTATTTTCTCACATAAATTTACTTTTCAATTCAAGTTCTAACAGGATCCATCCCAATTCGGGTGAGTCTTATTATGACATAGGGTAGTCCCTATTATATGATGTCAACGTAATGAGATCCACCATCTATTCGGTCCTCACTCCAATCTAAATTGTGATATATAGAAGAAGAAAAAAAGATAAATACTCCTTAAAATGCACGAGTCTTAAATTTCACTTCTTACTCTTATTAATACATTTTAGTCAAAAAAACTATAGCAGTTAAATTAATCAAAAATAAAGAGTAGAAATTTTAAAACAAAGAGTCACTTGGCCAATTTTCTCATATCTATAGGAGTATTAACTCAAAAACCCAACTCAATCAAGTCCATACTCTTTAGCAATTTATGGTTGACGGACTTGACTTGAAAATTTTGGGCCTCATTGGGTACAGCACAAACCAGTTGTTTGTGGTCCAAGTCTCCAAGAGCATAATCCTTTAAACAATTCCACAGTAGCGAGAGTAGTAATGGATAGTCATGGGTTGGTAGTTGGATAACGTAGTATAGTTATTGCTTTAATAGGAGTCTATGATAAATGGCATTCCTTTCGGCTTCGAAATTATGGGCGAAATTAAATCGCTGAAAAAGGCGAAGTCACAAATCCCGTTGCGAATCTGTGAAAGGCTAAAAGCTTCAAATCTCTTGTTTATTATTCCCTCCCCAAAGGGGCACAATATTTGCACCATTTGATAGGTACGGACATGAGGGCCATCATACGCTTGGCATGCCATAAACCCAAAAGAACAAGAAAAAGGACACACAAAGAGGAAGCAAACCTTAAATAAAAAGGATAGCATAAGATACCCCAATTTCTTCTCTATCACTAGTTTGAGATAGGGATGAAAACAGCCACAACTAACATGAAAATGAATTCCTCTTATCCAATTTCATCCCAAAACAAAAAAAAAAAAAAAAAAAAAAAAAAAAAAAAAAAAAAAAAAAAAAAACCCCACAGGGAAGGTAAGGAAAAAAAAAAAAAAAAAAAAAAAAAAAAAAAAAAAAAAAAGTGGCAACAATTTGGTTTGGAAAAAGGCATAGTCATGCAATTCTTCTTTCGGTTCATAGCAAAGCCCGTGACCAAATTGACTAGCACCTCCAACTTTCGGTACATGGTTTTGGCATTCTTGATACATGTGTGATTACGTTATTATCCACTTCCTTAATGCATCACCTCTATGAGTCGCCGTGAAGCTTCTTTGGAAGATCCAAACTCTTTGCAATCTCATAATTACGTGTGGAAAAAACAATAGGGAAATATTGTCTGCTCAAAAAGTATGTGAATTCTGATTCCCCCTCTTGGAATAAAGTTTGTGAATGATGCGAATAATGGGGATTTCTTTTCCTTTCTAGAGAAAGTGCCTCCTAATTTCCGTCCGTGTTATTATTTTATAATTTATGGCTAGAACGCTCTGCTATTACCTAATTTTTTTTTCTTTTTGGGTGTGGAAATTTGGGGATGATGATTACAGGAATAATGCCACTTTATAATTGCATAATCACATGAAGAAAAATAGAAAATGAGCCACTAAATGATTGCTCTCCCGCTTGTTAGTGAATTATTTTAAGCAAAATAGAACCTTTGGGAACTCTAATCCTTTTTTTTTTTTTTTCTTGATAAGTGATAGATACTTTAATCCATTAGACAATTTGTATTGAGAATATTACAAAGTTCTTGGTGGGCAGTTTACATTTTAAGAGATTTATCCACTTGTGATGAAACATTTCTATAATAGGCTAATTTCAATCCCTCTCTTTTATGAGTTATATTCAATTTAAATACTTAGTTTGAGCAGGGAATTTGCAAACTACTTGTTTTCTTTAAAAAAAAAAAAAAAAAAAAACTATACATTCACATTAGATGAGCAACCAATAAGACCAATGGAGGCGTTTTTAAGCATTATCACACATAATAGCCGACCTATAATTATACTATAAATTGGACTCAAATAGAAATGATTCTTGAACTATTTTAATTCAAAATAATGTGACAAATACTTTTAAAAAATACTTGACAACAAAGGTCAATTTAGATATGTTAGCCGTTCCTTTTTTGCATCCGTGGAAAAAATTAGCTCAAATAGGAACCTAACTTTTTTCTTTCTTTAATTACTATTGTCGATATTTTTCCACTTCTTATACTCATTGGCAAGAAAAGACAAGTTGATCAGAGCCTTCTTCAATTCGTTTTGTAAACAAAATCAGAGGCCATGGCTATTCACCCTTTCAAGGGATTTGGTCATTTTGCTTCTCTAAGACTTCCCAAATTCATTGGTTTTTCGGTCAACAATGCTATATATATATTTTTTTTTTTTTTTTCGCTTCGAATGAAAACTTTACTGAAATGCGTGACGCAGCCTACTCATAGTAGTCATAATAAGGTGTAATGTAGCTTCTTAACCAAGTAGGCCAACGATTGTTTTTTCTAGTGTTCTTATTTTCTTCTTCATACCCCTTTTTTCAGAGTTTATAAGCGCCAGGCCACTCATTTTTATGACAATTAGTAATTAGGAATCAATACCAAACTATTATGAACACTACTAACCTCAATCCATATTTATTTTTTTGGTCAACATCGCTTAGGGAACAATTGTTTCCATATTTCAATATTTTGGAAGTGTTATTTATGAATTTGTTTATTGATTTGCTTTGAATAAAAACTTCACTGAAAAATTCTTGAGCCAGCCAAGTCAGAGTAGTCGTAACAGGATGTGCCCTATCCTCTTCCGACTGCCCCGTAGCCCAACGCCCTTTTTTTTTTTTTTTTTTGAAAGTATTGTAAATTTTATTTTCTTGATATTAGAAAAAAATCACTTATTTACATTTTTATGACTAATAAGTTAGGATCAAACTAATGTGAACACTTGCGAGCACTAGGATTGGCCAAATTCGGGAAAACTCCAAAAGGTAACAAGAAAGAAGCATCGAAGAAATGTCGTTTATTTTATTGTCCACTTTCACACACACCACCACATTGATCAATATGATTACAGATGGCCTTCAATTTCAGACCGGACGATATGATGACAAAATAATATCCCAAAGATCTGGAATATTTAGTGAACAGAGAGAATCGGATACCGTTTGGTTGGAAGATTCGTTCTCTGATTCGAATTATGGTTCATAGTTCGCTACAGTATTTTCTCTCATAAAAAACACACGTAAATCAAAAATGATTTTAATCTCATGGTTCTAATCCATAAACCAAACGAAATCTCATGGAAAGAGTACGAAAAGGGAAGAGAGATTAAGCGCAATAGAATTAGACTATGTTCAATTTAATAGGCAGATCACATAACATTTTTTCCCCCCTTTTAAATTAAAACAGATTTATAACAGAACACAAATTTGATGAAAAGAAAAATAACCGTTGACATCCAAATCAATTATAGTATGTACGAGCTTTAGAAAATCAAGAGCTAAAAAGAAACAATAAAAAAAAAAAAAAAAAGAAGACCCATTTTGCTCTAAAACTAAACAGCCTTGCCGATAATTTCCACGTGACCACCGTTGGGGTAATCTTCTTCTTCAGCGGCGACAAACCTTTTCCAGTACCAGTGGGTCCCCCATATCCGGGTCATCTCCTCAATCGGAATTCCCTTGGTCTCAGGCAAGAAGTTCAAGACGAAGAGGGACATAACAACCACAAAGAAAGCAAAGAAGATAAACAGGCCAAACTTCAAGTGGCAGAGCATGGTCAAGAAGATTTGAGCCACCGCGAATGTGAAGATCATGTTGACCGAGACATTCACACTCTGAGCCGCTGATCGGATTTCAAGTGGGAAAATCTCACTGGGCACGAGCCAACCGAGTGGGCCCCACGACCAGGCGAACCCGGCAACGTACATGCAGATGAACAGCACCACCACTATGGCATACCACTTGGGCAAGTCCCCTGGGTTCCCATCAACTCCAAACTTAGCACCAATTGCTGCCGCCACAACGATCTACAACCAAAAAAAAAAAACATACCCAGAAATTAAAATCTCGAGTTTTGATATCTATAATCTTAAAATGTACTAATTCAAATTCAACAAACACAAAAGAAAAAAAAAGAAAAAAGAGTGACATAGATTATTATTTGGATTACCTGGCATATCAACATTTGAACACCACCCTCAAGGAAGAGGAACCTCCTGCCCCACTTATCAACACCGTAGATGGACACAAGAGTAGCGCCTACATTGACGATTCCGGTGATGACGGCGGACATGAGGGAGGCGTCGTCACCGAACCCGATGGTGTTAAACAACACCGGGGCGTAAAACATGATAACATTGATCCCGGTGAGCTGCTGGAAGAAGGGGATCAAGATGGCCATGCTTAATTGAGGCCTGTACTTCCTCTCCAACAGTTTTCTCCACGGGTTCTCCACTTTCTTCGACGCCTCACTGGCCGCGACTAGGTCGTTGAATTCTTCTTCTATTTCCGAATCAGTAACGCCACGGATTTTCAGCAGTTTGGCACGTGCCTCTTTTACTTTGCCGCGCTCGATCAATGAATTAGGTGTGTCCGGGAGGGCAAATGAACCCACAATGATTATAGCAGCAGGGACCATGGCTCCACCCAGGCTCAACCGCCATCCCCAACCGCCCTCGATCTTGGCGAAAAAGTAGTTAAGGACGTTGGCCACAAGGATACCAATTGTGATGGATAATTGGAAACCGATGTTCAATGCTCCTCTGTATTTGTACGGCGCCATCTCGGAGAGATACAGTGGCACAGACTGTAATTCAGAAGAACGTGATAAGAATTAGAAGTGTTAATTAATACAGTGTTAATAATTGTAATTTCATTGAAACATTTTTTTTTTAATAAAAGACAGTGGTTAGTAACAGGACCACATGGGGTGTGACAAGTTGGCATGTTTCTTAGGAAAAAACATGCGCTAATTAATTTTCTTTGGTTGATGTGAAAAATGGCAATATAAAAATTATTGAGATATGTTAGTTTAGTGAAAGGCCGCTTTCAAATTTGCAATATTACTTTTTTTTTCCTCTTATTCGCCGTCTATGACAAATAGTAAACGTAGAAGGAAAAAAGAGGTGCAAAGATGTGTCATGTGCGAAGAAAAGTGAGGCAGTTTGACTTGGTAAAAAAATCACCACTGAAATGAAGACAAATGAGCTAGTTGATACTTCATCCAAAACCAGCGAACGCCTTTTGGAGAGAGAGAGAGAGAGAGAGAGAGAATTGGGTATCACTTGTTCAGTCCCTACTTTTCTCACCAACCAAACCGAATGAAATAATATCCTAAATAATGAAAAAAATTAAGGTCGCATTCAAAAGAAAATATGGAAAAGATTGTTTACGGTTGAAGGTCATCTAATCGTTAAATGGAAAAATAAATTAGAAAATAAAAAATAAAATAGACAAAAGGCTTGGAATCACCATATCTGGATCAGAGCTTTGTGTCAAAAAAATCTAGTTTTGTCATATTAGAAACAAAATGGTCAGATCCACTATGCTTCTCCACAATTGCAGAAAACAGATCCAAAAAAGCAGAGAAAAGTTGAGTTCGAGAAGCCCACAAAAATACAAAGAATGATATGTTAAAGACAAAGCACAGAGGAATAAAAATACATAAACATAATTCCAATGCTTTTGGTTCTCGGACACGGCACATAACATTTCGTGTGTTACTAGATAATAAAACATCAAAAAAACCACAAAACCAAATTTCTCCATACAAAACAAAACAAACACAAAAACACCAGAGATCCAAACAAAGACACAGAAACACAGACGCACACGTATTTATATAGTAATTTACAGTGTACAAACAATATTTTATTGATATATACCTGATTGGTGAAACCGATACCGAAACCGAGCAAGATACGGCCAACAATCAGCATCCACACCTCCTGAGCGAAGCCATTGAGGAGAGCGCCGGCCAAGAAGAGAATACCGCCGAAGGACATGGAGAGTTTCCGACCAAAAGTGCGGGTGATTACGGAGGCGACAAGCGAGGAGAGCAGAGCGGCCAAGTAGAGCGACGACGTGAACATCGTCAGCGTCTGACTATCGTACTGGCAGTACTGGTTCGTGGTCTTGTCCGCCATCTTCTTCCGGTACACCGACGGGAAAAACTTCTCGAGAAACGAGTTCATCGACGTCACACCGCCTGAACAAAACAATAAAAAAATGAAAAAGAAAACCTCGCTTCATCTTAATTATTTTTTAAAATTAAAATTACAAGTTTAAAAAAAAGAAAAAAATTTAAGGACGTGTATTAATCAGTGTGGTACCGGAGATTCCGATATCGTAGCCGAAAATAAGACCGCCCATGGCCGCGACGATACATGTCACAGTGACGTAGGGGGTCAGTTTTCCAGGGTAGGCCTTGCCGGAGCCACCGGCGGGTATTCCTCCCACGGCCGGCATTTGTGTTTGCTTGTGGAATAAGTAATTAGAAAGGAGGACAAGAAGCAGAAAAACAAGAAGAGGAAAAAGCAAGAAGAAGAAGAAAAGCAGAGAACAGTGAGTAGAGGAGAAAGAAACAGAATGGAGTGAATAAGCGCAATAGGGAAACGGAGAGGAAGAAGAAGAGGATATAGAGGTTTTGGACGGGTTATGGGAAGGAGTATTTATAGAAACAGGCCCTTAATTTTCTCTCTTTTCTTTCTTTTTTTTTATTTAAAAAAAAAAATCACAAATTATGGAGGGACTGTTGAGCTGTCAAAAAAAATAGAAAATGGAAAGTATCTCAATTCTTGATTAGGAATCAAAAGATAATTAATTTTTTTTTCCTCGCAAACTCCCCTATTTATTTTTGTGGATAAGATTTTGAACAGAGGAGCTTAGAGTAAACTCTAAACAATCTACTTGGCAAATTTTATTTTCCTTTGTTCTTTTTCTTATTATTATACAGTTTCTATGTCTTTCCTTTCACATTAGCCGTTGGATCATGATGACCTTACAAAATGGATAAAAAACAAAGATTCAAAGAAATCAAAGAATAATAATCCGTATGAACATTGAACAACGGACATATTGCAATGCAAAAACCATGCTGCATAAATTTCTTTTATTTTTCTTATCTTTATTGAATTTCATGATTAACCTTTTTGAACATTAATGCTTGGGCAGTCGGTGACAGTGTCACAATAGGGTGTGTACTAGTTAATTAGTGATGCAATTTACACGTCGGATATTACTCAGAAGGCAAAAAGGAAAGAAAGAAAAAGATTGAAAATTTAAGATCTATTCAGAACTCGTTTTAAAATAAAAAAAAATTATTTTTAAAAATGGGTTCGGTAGTTTTATTAAGAGTTTATTTTTTAGTATAAAAAAATTTATTAATATCTCTCTCTGCTCGAGAGAGGAGAAAACGAAAATAAAAAATAAAAAACGATTAAAAGTCGTTTTTCATTTCTTTTCTATTTTACACTAAACTAAAAAATTATTTTCATTTCTGTTTTTTAACTTTAATTGTATCAAACACCGTTTCTCTCTCATTTTATTTTTTTCTCAAAAAAACGTAAAAAATAAAAATAAAAATAACTCCAAACACATCCTTAATTTCTTAACTTTCCCGTGTATGCATGTCTTGGTGCTGAGTCAGGTACAATTAATTGGTTGGTGGTGATGTTAATCTTGTTCTTGAGGCTCACCGAGATCTGCCTTTCTGTCACTCTGGATAATGTTTGGGAGAAGAGAGGGGTTTTCGCCTTTCGGTACGTCGGTCATAGTTGTGGGATTTTAACAGCTAAACAATATTGTTTTTTTTTTTTTTTTTTTCGTTGTTTGTAACAATGTTGTTGATGATTATGAAGATGGTAATGTGCGTGACTATAAGTGCCTTTACGCGTAAGTAGTCGAACCATTTGATACCACAGAGACGTATATCATGCGACCTTTTATGTGAATAACAATGTGAATGTAAAGTTTATAAGTTTGGATGAACTGGGGTAGGATTGTAATTTTATAAAAATTTAGGGTTGTTTTGGCATTTAGATTTAGGTTAGTACTTAAAAGACGAGGCTTTTGTGTAGGTATGTACAGGATATATACGGTATGTTCTGTTCCTGAAGTCTCCGAAAATGAAAATTAAAACGTTTTTAATTTTAAACAAAAATTATTTTTAAAAATACGTTTAATAGTTTTATTAAGAAATTATTTTCAATATAAAAAAACTCATTAATGTCTTTCTCTCTCTCTCCGTTCGAGAGAGGAGAAAACGAAAATAAAAAATGAAAAACGACTAAATGTTGTTTTTCATTTATCTCTCATTTTATACTAAACTAAAAATCATTTTCATTTTCATTTTTTATTTTTATTGCGCCAAATGCCGTTTTAAAAATATTTTTATTTTTTCTTTCTCAAAAAACCTGAAAAATAAAAATGAAATCAATTCCAAACACGACCGAAAATTCTTATTACAGTAAGTACTCTACTTTGCTCTGCTTTGACTATTGTATTAACTTTTCAACGTTATGATATGTGAGTGTTTGAGATGCCTGAAGTGAAAATGTATTGAGTTATAAATCATACTGTTGAAAAGCTAATTCACGAGTTAAAACAACACTACTCACTGATAGGGTAAAAGAACAATTCTTACCGTAAATTTTGTCAAAACCTCTATGAGGGAAAACTTTTCATGCGCATGGTAAGAGGTAAAAGGTAAAACCAGTGTTTTTGCTTCGAATAGAGAAATCTCAGTGATCATTTTTTTTTTTTTTTTTTCAATTTTGGGACATTAAAATATCAGTGATATTTGATACGGATAATATGAAACAACCGCTAGAGAGAGAATAGGACTCCATTGAGAATCTTCCTTACGATTTGATGCCCATTTGGTTTTTTTTTCCTTTTTTTTTTTTTTTTTTTTTTTTTTGTAAAGATTCCTTATTCTACTCTTTCCTCCTTTAATTGTGGGGCTCGGTAATCTGTTTAATTTTTCGGGGAAGTTGTCTTCCGCTTTTTCTTCTATTGAAGTCGTCTTATCAAACAACAGACAAGAAAAATGCAATGGCAATTTCTCCAAAGCTTGTAGATTTTGAGTTAGGCCCTTATCTCTTTATTCTCTTATAAAATCAATCCCTTGTAATCATCTTTTTCTCAAAACTATACACAGAATGGGAAGCAGTCTTAAAAGACGTTTGGTTTATAGATTAGAATTATTTTCAATTTACGTGTATTTTTTATGAGAGAAAATCTCCTTAGATATTAGTTTCTTTATTAAAATGTTAATTATGTTATATTGAAACCTTAAAAGATGTGTAATAGTTGAGTTATCAATAAACTGATGAGAGAAGCCAACTAGTCTTAAGGCGCAAGAACATATTCTAATGAGGTTGGAATCTTTTCCACAACTTATCACGTAATTGGGTTATCTATTTTAAGGGTTTTGAGAAAATTTGTATCGGAATAAATTCTTTGGAGGTCTATGATTAATTGTTTTGTTTTTTCAAAATCTTCTTTATTATGGTTTTTGTCTAATCAAGGGGAAACTTTTGGTCCAAATTTTATTTCATGAATCAGATCACAGTTTATAAGATGATAATTTCGTTTCATGGTAATGTAATTTACATTATTTTATTCGCAGTCTATGATTAATTGTTTTGTTGGAACATAAGTTGCAACATAGAAAATGGATGTCCAATTTAGCAATCGTTAATGTATGAACAATTCAAGAATGAAATTTGGACCAAAAAGTTCCTTTTGCGCACTTACATCCACTCAAGCTTTACTAGATTTAAGTGCAAACTAAATTATAAACCCATTCCTATAAACAAAAGATAAATTTTAACATAGGGACTTTGAAGATGTTTATTTTCTGTATTCGTCTCTGATTCTGAATCATGATTTATAATTTTTTACAGTATTTTTTTCTCACAAAAAATACATGTCAAACGAGAATGATTCTGAATTTATGAACCAAACGTCCACTCAATTACACAGATTAAACTTGGACTGATTCTAGAGGGAGAAAACTATCCAAGCCCCTCCAATGTAGTTGTAGCTTTCATGGGCATTTTAACATAACCTAACTACTGCCTCTTTTAACGTTCTCCAATCCGAAATTTTTGAGACGGTTTTCCACTTTAATAGAACGCATTTGTGAAAAATTAAATCGGTTAAAAATACTAATGCTCCAGAGAAAATAAAATTGAGGGACTTCACCGTTATATACAAACTATGCAATATAATATAAAATGTAAACTAATATACAATGCGTTGATTTTTATATTTGATATGTATACGTGTGTGTATATATGCGGGCAAATATGTTTTTCGACGTCGAAATCTTTTTTCTTTAAAAACCAAATGCATGCGTGAAGAAGTATATAAGGCAATTAAAATTGGTTTTAGACGTTCCGAAACATATAGTATTAACTTCATCGTGATTTTCTACAATAATTAAGTAATCTAGAATAGAAGTCTTAAAAAAAAAAAAAAGCTAAATAAAAAATAGTGATTTACAGGATAAATAAAGACTCCAATTGGGATTGACTTTATGTGTGATGACTCTCATTACAGAGCGGTTATTGTAACTTATATTAATATATATTTGTTGAAATTTTTTAAAATTTACGGAACATTTTAAAAAAAAAAAATTATTATAGTAAACATAAATTTTAAATTTCTTTCTTAATTATGAGAAAATATTTATACCTCAATATATTTATCTTTCAAAACATAAATATATACGTATATACTTGATCTTTAAGTCTTACTTATTTACATATACTTAACAATCATAACCTAATCATTTAACATATAGTTTCAGAGTCATAATTAGCAAAACTATTTATCACATAAAATTATTTGCGGAAATAATTACGAGCGGTATTCATTTTCTGATCTCCACATTGTTCGTCCATCAGGCATTAGGTGCAGGTTGCTTACCTACTGTACAAATATTCTATAATGAGTTTTCGCTCAACAAGTAGGAACTATCTCTCGCAAAATAACTGTAAGTTCACATGAATAAATATGTATGAGTCAATTATGCATAATTATGATTATGTCTTATTAAAGTCTTATTATCCGATCTTCTCTTACTTATTGATGGGCCCGAGTGCTCTACCATTTGTGCGCAATCATCGGGACGTGAGAGTTTGCAAGGTCCCCAACGACACCGTGATTTAACTTATCATCTTTTTTATCTCCCTCGCGGAGTCTTAGTTACCTCCTTCGCGAAGGCTGGTACGACACTCAACTGTGATTATTCTTATAAGTTTCACTTGACTTATTAAGGTGTATGCAGCATAGCATGACATTGCATACTATAACATAAAGCATAAACATGCATATATATCATATGTAACATTTTATTTAAAATCTATTCATACTGTAGACGAGATTCCTACTTACCTGTTTTACAGAGTTGGAATTCACTATTCGCCAAACAGTCTATTCTTTTACTTGCTTATTTCTGAAAATGAACATCCATTGAGAGTGTGAGATTAACTGTCGTTTATTATTTTAATTTAGCAAACTTATAAAGGAATCTAATCATTTACTTAAGGAATGTTTTCCTTTTCTTTATTAAAGGATTGTAAAATCTTGTATTTAGTATAAGGATTAAATTTATTAAATCCTCATAATCTTATTTTTCTTAATTG